GCAAAGCATTTACAGATGAGAAAGTGGCTAGATGTTACTGGAGACAGGCTTGGCTGCTTGGTGGAATTTACATATTTCAGATTTCTGAAATTCATTACCTTATCTGTTGAATTACAATGATTTCAGGGCTCAAATGAACTAAATAAGGCACTTCTTAAAAGCATAAATGAGGCCAAGAAGATTCATCTGGTCCCATGCCACCTGCGAGAGAAGTTTGTGCTACGCTTTGCTATTTGCTCCCGCACAGTGGAATCCACCCACGTCAAGTTTGCCTGGCAGCACATCTCACAGCTGGCGACCGAGCTCCTGAAAACATGGGAACAAAACCACCACCAGCAGTAACAGTGGTGAGGTAGCAGCAGGGAGGAGGTAATTAGCTGGCTTTCTTTGTGTTGCCAAGTTTAATTTTAGGGGCAGGTGGGAAAGTCGAGTTATGAGGGGAAAAAAATCAAAAGCTGTTGCTACATAGCCCAGCTGCAGTAGCAAAATCCTTGCCAACAAGTTGTGTTCTAACCTTAGTGATTCATTCTCTGCACTGCATTTTCATCTTGCCTTTTTCCAGAAGGGACATATCCATGGCATCTCAAGCTGTCATTTCTTTCCTGTTAGTTATCAAGAGCGTTCATTGATCCCAGCAATGGAAACAGAGGGTTAGTATTCCCTCTATTCTTGACATTAAGCCCCCAGCACAAAAACTCTACTCCAGAGATAAAAATGTAAGGTGTCATCACCAAATAATTTGACATCATTGTGACTTCAGAAAAAAACAGGTTGTAGGAAGCTCAGTCACCTGGTTATAACACTGTTGGGGTCCTATTCTAAGCAGGCAAGCACAGATGTAATGAGCTGGGTCACTAACGTCACTAACATGCTATGACACACGTGCTGCTGTATTTTTTGCAAATGAAGTTAGAACTTCAAGACTCCTTTCATTATACAGTCAAACTGAGGGAGTGAATGCTTGCTGCCCTTATGGCAGGTTCTCTCTCCTTAGAAGTTTCCTTCTAAGACAGTGATTTTGTCAAATCTCAGCAAATTGTTTATGCTGCTTATTGGTTTTCACTTCAGTCATCCATATTGATGCTCCGTCTTCAGAGTTCTGCCAAAATCCATGTGCTACCTGATGTTCTGTATTTTCAACTCAGTTATTATAAGCAGTAACTAGTTGAAAATAATGTGTAAGCTATGTTGTGTGAAATAGAGTTGTGACATCTTTTGATGGCTACCACTCCGCTTGTTTCATTGTTTGATAAAGAAATGTTTGTCAAAATAAAATGTGTACCAGGAACAGCTGGCATGGCATGCAGTCTGCTGCTGGCCACATTTTGTCTCTGTGACATCCCAAGGGAGAACCAGACTGGACACGAGGAAAAATGTATTTACTATGAAGGAGATTGAATACTGGAACAGGCTTCTTAGAGAGGTGGCTGATGCCCTGTGCCTGTCAGTGTTCAGTGGCATTTGCACTCAGGAACAATGCTTTAATTTTTGGTGTCCCCTTAAGTGATCAGACTGTTGGCCTATTACATGATCTCTGAAAGTCCCTTCCACCTGGCCTATTCTAATTCTAATACCCACAGAACTGCATTTCCTCACAGCCAGCACAAGACAGAAATCTGAATTTCACAGTTCTTGTTTTTGTTTTCTTCTGAAATCTGGGGATGATTTGAAGCTGCAGTCAATGAAGGCTTTTTTAGCAGTCAGTCTCCCACTGCCTCTTCCCCCCATGTGCTTTGCAGAACATTAATGTTAAGTTGTGTTAAGAACATTGATGTTAAATCATCTCAGAAAAAAAAAATAATAATCTGGGCTATGTAATCAACTCAAGAACAAAATTGTTAAAAATAATGTTTTTGAAAGAAGGACCTTTCTGCTGTTTCTGTTCTGTAGCTTTGCAATATATTTGTAAGTGAAATGACTTTTGGTGGGAGAAACACTGTATCTGTGAATAGTTAATATGTGAACCTTTATCTCTGCGCCTTGTGTTCAAAAGCTAATGCAGTCTGTTCTGATTGATGCTGTTAAAGATAATGACAAAATCTCAGCAAAGCACTTTAGTAGAATACCCACCTCTCAAAGGATGCTGTGCAGCTACTGGAGAAGAAGGGGAAAACATAACTTTTCAGTAACCATGTAGATTCTTTAACAACAACAACAACAAAAGAGTGGAAGGCTACAACACTCTTCATCATGGCAGGTTATGTTTTATTACTGATGGTGAGATACTGAAAATATGTAGTTATGAAAGGTGTTGGTAATACGCTTAACATGAGGGGTAGTGGCTGTAAGTTGCCTAGGGAGGTGGTGGAGTCCTTGGAGTGTTCAGTAAATGAGTGGATGTGGCACTGAGGGACACGGTCAGTGGGCATGGTGGGATGGGCAGATGGTCGGACTGGATGATCTTAGGGGTCTTTTACAACCTCAGTGATTCCATGATTCTTTGTGAAACCCTACCCCAGACTGCACTGAAATTGGTACGTCTAGTTTTCTCTTGCTTCTGTGTGTCAGATTATGCCCGTGGTTGGTTGTCACTGTTATCACTGTGTCTGTCACATAAGCAGAGGGTGGTGGTATGTAAGTGACATCTGTGGAGACCTTGTAACCTGACTGGAAGTCATCTCATGTTTGGTGTTTTTTTTTGTGAGCCGTGTGGTTCCTTTAAATCTCTGTCCGAAGTCTGTCAAACTGACATGTTGGTTTTAAGAGCAGCACTAATAAAGGAAAAGAAAACCACGGCTGTTGTCTGCCTCTGTTGTTAAGCCCAACCTTTCCCATTTTGCCCACATCCACTGTAAGGGGTACCATCTCCTCAGCTCACTGTGGCATTCCAACCTTCACCACCAGTGATTTTTAACTTGGTCTCTGAACCAACTACGGGGCATCCAGGAGCTCCTGCGGGACGTTTCCTATTTAGCAGTGCCCTTCTGAAGAGCTCGCTGTCACCACAGCCCAGTCCATCTGGCACCAGCCGCCACAGCACCGCGGAAGGCGTTACCGCGAGGCGCGCAGCCCGCGCCCATTGGTGGGCGCCCGCCGCATCCGCAGCCAATAGGGAGCGGGAAGGCCCGCGCGCCCGCCTCCTGGCCGCTCTAAGCTCGAGCTGATGACGTTAGCGCAGCGAACCTTCCCCCTTCCCCCCTTCCGATTGGTTGCGTCTGCCACAACGCTGCTATCCGATTGGTAGGGCGGGACGTGGGGGGCGGGGTCTGAGGCAGAGCGCGCGCGGGATCTACAGGGGCGGTTGTAGGCCGCCGCGGTCGGTGGGTGCTCGTGGTGCGGGCTGGGTGCGCGGATGTATCGCGGCGCGCTGTGCTCCGTCCTCTGGAGCGCTTGGTGACCGTTAGGCCTCCTTACCTCGGGAGTGAGGAGCACATTTCGGGGTGTCCGTTCGGCCAGGGTTGGAGAAGCGAGTCCTGGCTGGGCGGGCTTGGCCTGCTGGGAGCGGTGCCGGTGAGGGACTGCCCCTGCCCTGGGTTGCGGGCGGGACGGGTCCTGGAGCCTTCCTGGAGCGGGGCGGCACGGCACGGCACGGCACGGCACGGCACGGCACGGCACGATGGTTGGCGTGCAGCCTGCTGGAGTGGTGCCCACTGGCGGCCCGGCGCGTGTGTTGGCTGCTGTCGTGTGTTGGTTTCCCTAAACAGCTCTACGAAGTTGGGCTGAAAACCACATCGCGTTATGCTCACTGTGGTGCTTCGGTGATGCAGTCGCTGGGCAAAGTGTTTTTTTTTTTTTTTTTTTTTAAGTAAAAAGAGTGGGACGTCTCCCCATCCCCAGCGTTTCTTGGCAGCCTTGTATTCTGCACGCTTTGTTATTGATCTGCATTTGTGTGCTGCTTCTACCAGTGTGAATCTGTGCTTGAATCTGCAGCTGGGTGCAGAGGCTTGTATTCTGTTTGCTGAGAGAGATAACATACCGACCTCCACCTTAACAGTTTTTGTTTGTTTTCTTTTCTCGTTGGAAAAACCCTGTGTACATTGAGATGAACAGACAGACGTTAGGATTTAATGTATTTCAGCCATGTTGAGGAAGTGCTCTATGGACAGATCAGAATATGAGAATTGCCTATCAGAACAGTGTAAACCCTGCAGAAACAGCAGTGGACTTCTCTAATTTTGCTTTTGCTTCTTCATAAACTACTGAGTCCTGGCCCTTATCAGAGATATTTCTGCATGTGACCACAGAGAGACTGCTGTGAAATCACATCAAAAACATGGTCTGATCTTTTCAAAACGCCCCTTCTGAGCCAAGACTCATCTTTCTTATTTTTTGAACTTAACAGCAGCAGAAGGAATTTAAATTCTGAAGTATAAAATTGAAAAGTGAATATTGCTGTAAGCAGACAAGGCCTTTCTCAGGAATATAAAGCTGAGGGGGGATTTAGTATGTTCTAAATGGAATAAATAGTTACAAGCATCTGCTACAAATCTATTTAATCAAGCCTATTCATTGCAATTTTTCCTCCCTTCACAGTTTGTGAATAGTTTTACTCAATAACTTTGTTGTTCCTGTTTTATTGCCATCACTGTCATCTTTTTAACAATGGCCTGTACTCAGACCTCCTCTGCACTGTGCACTGTCTTGTCAAATAGGAGCAAAAGCATTGCTGATTTCATTTAACAAAGTCAGTTTTTGCTTGGCCATCTGTTAGCATTCTTTGCAGTCTAGTTACTTCCCCAGGAGGCTACAGGTTAAAAGCAAACTTTTCCTCTCTTTTTTCTTTTTTCTCCTTTTTTTTTTTAATTCTTCTTTTCTTTCTTTGAACAAGGAAGAAAAGGAGCAGTGTAAGTGGCTTTTCCTGCCACAAAAAGGAAGTGGCTGCTTCCTTTTTGTAGAGTGTCCATTCTGGCTAAGCAACTTATAAGTTCTGCTGCACTCAATTAAAAATGATGTGTGTTTTCATTTATTTGCAATTCAAAAAGGGGCAAGCAGCCAAGTAAGCAGCTGTGAAACATTTTTTTGTAACAACAGGTATTTTTATGTCTGTTTCAGTGTCAGTGATGGAGGCCCCGATGCATGGCACCGTGCACCTGAGCGACTGGCAGAAAAGTTACTTTGCTATTGCCTCTGGCACCTGCACACCCGGACAGAAGGCTGATGAGTACCGTGCCAAAATTCTGCGTATTCAGTATGCATGGGCAAACTCTGAGATCTCTCAGGTCTGTGCTGCCAACCTCTTTAAAAAATACGCAGAGAAATACTCTGCAATTATTGACTCTGACAACATAGAGACTGGCTTGAATAACTATGCTGAAAACATTTTGACTTTGGCAAAGTGTCAACAAAATGACAGTGACAAGTGGCAATCTGCCTTGACAACAGAGAATGTATTTGGTTTGAAGTGTGTGCAAGAGAGGATGCAGGCTGGCAAAAATGTCCAGAGCTCTCAGATGGCACCAGCAGATGCCCTTGTACTAGCTGATAAAGGGGTCAGTGCCTCTGCTGCTCCAGGCCTTCCCAGGCTCAGTGCTTTCAGCAGCACCGGTGAGAGTGAACGCTGTGCTAGCTCATCAAAAAGTACAGGTCGAGGCCCACATCTCCTTGAGCATCCCTTGTCTTCAAAGTCTCTCCAAAGCAGTGTGCCTCCTGTGACCAAAACTTCGGATATACTTCCTGTGTCTTCTGCCTCCTTAAGTGAACAGATTCATACAGGGTTCCAGGCGGCACCGCTGTTTGGAAATAAAGAAATGACAAGTGGTCCTTCTCTGAAAATTCCAGGTAACTGTAATGATGGACAAAATTTGTCTCTTCCCAATCAGTCAGCTGTACAAGCATGGTCTGGGAAAAGAAAAGCATTTTATGGCTTGACTGATAAAGGCAGCACTTCCACTTCTAGTCTTGCTCCATGCCAGGCTTCCAGTACTATGGAAGCCAACAGTTTTTCCGGGAGTAGAAATGGAATTGAAGAGAGTGGTGTTCCTGGTTTTAGAACTGCCAAAGAACAGCTATGGGTGGATCAGCAAAAGAAACCTCAAAGTCTACAACAGCGTGCGCCAGTCTCAACATACGGAGGTGTAAAAAAGTCATTGGGTGCTGGTAGATCTCGGGGTCCATTTAGCAAGTTTGTTCCTCCAGTCCCAAAACAGGATGGAAATGAAAACGGAGGAATGCAGTGTAAGCCTCATGCCAGAGGGCCGACGGATCCTTTACTTCCTGTAGATGAACGACTGAAAAGTATAGAACCAAAAATGGTGGAACTCATTATGCATGAGATCATGGACCATGGGCCTCCTGTGAACTGGGATGACATTGCTGGAGTTGAATTTGCTAAAGCTACAATAAAAGAAATCGTAGTCTGGCCTATGCTGAGGCCAGACATCTTTACTGGGTTACGTGGTCCTCCTAAAGGAATTCTTCTCTTTGGCCCCCCTGGAACTGGGAAAACTCTCATAGGCAAGTGCATTGCTTGCCAGTCTGGAGCTACTTTTTTTAGCATCAGTGCCTCTTCTCTGACTTCCAAATGGGTAGGCGAGGGGGAAAAGATGGTCCGTGCCCTGTTTGCTGTGGCACGATGTCAACAGCCAGCAGTGATTTTCATTGATGAGATTGATTCTCTGTTGTCTCAGCGTGGGGATGGGGAGCATGAGTCTTCAAGGAGAATAAAAACTGAGTTTCTGGTCCAGTTAGATGGGGCAACAACCTCCTCTGAAGATCGTATTCTGGTGGTTGGTGCAACGAATCGGCCCCAGGAAATCGATGAGGCTGCCCGAAGGAGACTTGTGAAGAGACTTTACATTCCTCTTCCAGAAGCTTCAGCTAGAAAGCAGATTGTTACTCGTCTGATGTCAAAGGAGCACAGCTGTCTCAGCGAAGAGGAAATCGAGCTTATAGTTAAGCAGTCAGATGGGTTTTCTGGGGCAGACATGACACAGCTGTGTCGTGAAGCTTCTCTGGGCCCTATCCGCAGTCTTCAGTCCATGGATATCACAACCATCATGCCAGAGCAAGTACGGCCCATTGCTTTTGTTGACTTTGAGAGTGCCTTTGGAACCGTGCGGCCTAGCGTGTCCTCCAAGGACCTGGAGCTGTATGAAACCTGGAACCGGACATTTGGCTGTGGCAGATAGTTGCATTGTAACTTTTGCAGAAACAGTTCTTTAGCACTGCTATGTATTAAACCTGTGATCGTTTCGTGTATCCATGCTGCTTTTTGTTTTTATCTGTCTTTGTAATAAACACTCTAAATTTACGCAGCCAGATGTCCAGGTGTTGGCATGAGGTGTAGCTCATTGAAAAAACTGAGGAATTACAGAGAGCTGCTGTGAAGGATGGATGGATGAGTTGCACTGATGTTAAGGGGAAGATGATATCAGAACTAAATAATTTGGTTAGGGGTGTAGCAAAGCTGGAGCTGATGGGGAAACTAGGGGGCACACTGAGTTGGAAGGGAGACAGGAACAGAGGAAGGAAAGAATCATGGTGGATGAGGAAAGAAACTCATGGAAAAATAGAAGGAGGGAGGAAAGAGAACAGTGTCGTGTAAATAGTGGTGGTGTTTGACTGAGACCTGCCTACATCACTGTAGCCTATTCCTAGGTTGTTATTAAACTCTCTTTCTGTTTGCTTTTCCATTTGACTTTGTTTTCTATTCTGTGTCTGTGTGCATGCCATGCCTAATCACGAGGGCACCAACAACTGTAGAAGAGGCCAAGGGTCATAAGGGGCTGTAGGCTCTCAGGGCCAGCCATGGACTTTCCATATTGTGTAGGGGTAGGGTGATGTGATCCTCATGTCTGCACAAACTTCTCTAGAAGAAATTACTAGCAGTCTTCAGGTTGGACTGCAAATAGGAGGAAAGTAGCATTTGGAATGAGCCAAAGTATGACCTGTTGGCAGGGAAGTTGCCTCCATCCCTGCAGGCATTCAAGGCCAGGCTGGATGTGGCTCTGGGTAGGCTATGGGCAGCCTGGTCTAGTGGTTGGTGATCCTGCTCATAGCAGGGGGTTGACACTAGATGATTATTGTGATCCTTTTCAATTTAAGCTATTCTGTGATTCTATGAAGAGGAGGCTCAGAGTTTTGCTACGACTATTGCATGAACTCAGATCCTATGGCAATGCTTGAAGGACCTGTGAACATGGTGTTCTTGTGAAGTGAGGGAGTGAGGAGGCCTGGGTGTACTGCTGGTGAGCTTCAATCCTGTTCATGTGGAGACAAGAAATGAAATAGGGCTGTCTGCTGTTTATGCTGTTGGATAGGAAGAAGAAACGCTGTGTCCCAAAGTCAACTACTTAAAATGTTTTCTAATAACTGTGGTAAAATTACTAACTAGGTTCTATTTTGTATTCTTACCTAAGGGCTTGAAGAAAGGCTCTGCCATTCTGTTCAAATAATCCATCCTTGCCCACTGGCTGGATAGAGTTGAAGTGAAAATACATGAAATGCTTTCATTTTTGTAGGGCTGACTACAGTGGTATCTGGGGTTTATTTTCACTTTCTCTGAAGCATTTCTCCTTCTATTAGGAAAAAGCTGATCTTAAAAGCTAGTCATTAGATTTTTCTAAAGTGGGATAAATTATTGATGCTGTTTAGCTAACATTTTTTAAAGCCATTTGGGAACTGCAGAAAGCTATAAGACTAGTGAAGCTTAATTTTGGAATAGTTTGGAAAGTTTAGCATTTCTTTTTGTTTAATCACAATAAGCCCTAACAATCAGTTCTAGTTTGTGTCTTCAGAAGCATGGGCTGTGTGAGGGATGGTTTTGCAGAGACGTAAAAATTCAGGTATGCGAATTTATCTTAATTTTTGAAATAGTGGAAGTAGAAGGATTTGGTTATAAAAATAAACAATTTGTGTCACTTTAGGCTCATATAGCTCATGTTGGGGAGCAATAAATGTGCTTTAGGGAATATGTCTGCTGTCTGCAAAGATCTTAAACCCCAGTGAAAATATGTTCTTTAATATCTGAGTAAAAACCCCAGAGAATTTTAACTGTTTTAGTAAATCTCAAGAGTTGTTCAAGAGTAATAAAAACTTCATCTTCTTACGTAATTGCCATCTTTATGCTGAAAACTTCTTTTTTAATAGAGGACTTTACTGGAAAGACAAGTGAGAATGCATGTGACGATACACAGTAAAGTGCCTCCTAAGATGGCAAGGACTGGGAAAGAATTGCGGTGCAGCTGCATTTATTTTCTGCAAAAGAGAACTTGTGAAAGAGAGAAAAGATGGAACCGCAGCACCAGATAGCAGCATTCGTCCTCCAGCTGCTTATGCTGTTTATTACTCTGTAGTCCTGAACAACATGAGTGTGCTTTGTTCGTGTCATGACCATGAAGTTCATGTAGAAGAAAATAAACTTTCTTTTTTCTTCTTTTCTTTGTACTGATGCAACTATATGGCAGTCTCTTCAGCCATCTAGCAATATTCAGGCTTTGCTGCGGGATTCAAGTCAGCAGGACTTCCAATATTAGCCCAATATGTATTTCATAACCCACTATAACAGTGCCACCCAAAATTTGATTCCCCTGTAGCATAATTTCACAAAAATAGAGAAAATTGCACAAAAGTGGGGCATGATTGCAATTTAAGGGAAATGGTGCAGATAAATCCATTTTAATGGACCTGTTTATTGTATACAGAAACTTATGTACTTCATTATTTATTCTTTTTGGCTGGCTGAACTTAGAAATGCAGGACTCTCCTTTGGTTTTGTGGGTCAGCAACATTTGTTGCACAATCTCTTAGTTTCTTGTAAATAAAGGTAAATCATTTCAGTCCTGGAAAGGTGAGCTCTTTTTAATAGTCATTGCAATCCACACTCTTTTCACCCTGTCAGTGCATCTTGTATAGCTAAATTGTCTTGGAGCATTTTGAAATCTGTAGATGAATGTACATTTATAGAAAACTGTGCCAACACAAGTAGGGAAAAAGCTGATGAAGCAGCAGTGATTGTCATTTACTAATGGCACGTGGATGAAAAACAGACTGGCCTCTAAGAGCATTGGTAAGATTGTCCAATTGAAATAATGCAATTTTTGTTTTTCTATTAGACATTACTACTACCAAACCAGCAGGTAACTGGAAAAAAAAAAAAAAAAAAAAAAAAAAAAAAGAGAAAGAAAAAAAAAGACACAAAACAAACATCAGCAACAAAAGCACCAAATAAATAAATAAAAAAAAAAAAGTTACAATTTTATTGGAAAGAGCAGACTGGTCATGGTGAGCACTTGTGTTTACTAAGAAGATGCTGAGAACTACTGTTACATAAAGAATGCCTTGCACTTGTCTTCAAGCTCATTAGCACACTTTCCTTTTATATTTAAATGATAGCTCAGGTTTGGGACGCTTTTGAAAGAAGTCTTAGGAGCAGTTCCTTTAACTAAAGAGATACTGGTGGGGTAGCTTTGCTAACAGCCACATGACCACACATCTGCTTGCTTGTTCCCCTGCCTACGGAATAGAGCAGAAAAGAGAGGTAGTGGGTTCAGGTAATGACAGATGGCTTATCAGTTTGTGTTGTGAGCAAAACTGATTCAATCTAGGGAAAATTAGTTTATTGTCAGAAGAGATTTGGGTGGTGAAAAACAAAGGCAAACGTTCTAACAACTGTTTTCTTCCCTGCTGCTTTAAACTTCACTTCCACTCTTCTCTCCAGGTGGTACAGCAGAGACGTTATGGTCAACACTTAGAGGTTCCTCTCTGTAGCCCCTTCCCTCTTATGCTTTCCCTCTGCTCTAGCATAGGCTTCCAGCACACCAGTTTTTTTTCAGGGATATCTGATATCTACTCCAGCATGAGCTCTGTAAGGTCAACAGCATTGCTTTGCAGTCCAGCAAATATCTGCATCTCTGCCTTTCTCTTTGAACTTTGCATTCATTTTGCTGTTTCTCACTCTTTTCTTCCTCCTAGAGCTCTCTTTGTCTTGTTTTCCCCTGTCATGTTCCTTAAACATGTTTTTTTTTCCCAGAAACACCAGACATGTAGCTGATGAGCTCAGCTGTGTTCTATAGAGAGAACTATCACTGTGATGACAACTGGAACCAGCTGTATCTGGCACTGGGCAAGCCCTGACCTCTTCACATGGGAGGCCACCCGTACCTCCCCACCCACTACCAAAACCTTGACACCTGCACCCAATATAGATGCCTTCAGGGGAACAACTCACATAATTATAGTGCTTAGTGAAGATGCTGATGATGTGAAATTTTCAAGGCATAGATTTCTTTACTTGTTAATATTTTATTGCCATTCTTTATCTTAACTGCAGCAAAGCAATTGTACAGTGCTGTAGCTATAAGCTAAAATTATACTGATGAATCAGTATTACCTGCTTTAGTCCCATTAAGTCAGAAAGTTCATGTGAAGAGCCAAAATTGTGTTATTATAAAATTACAAGTCTGGGAAGCGCTCTAAGAGATCACAAAATTCTGATTTCACACAGAATTCATGTGAATTAGTTTTTGTGATTCCTGGTACTTGTTTTGCCCTTATCCAACAATTGTAAAACTATTTGTCTCTTCTTGGACATAAGCTGACTTTACTTTGAATGCATGTGATCATGTGATGATATCTAGGATCTGCTCTACTTACAGCATTTGCTGCTATGCAAACACAATTCAGTAAATACTTAATGTTCATTATTGGTAAAACAGTTCTCTTGACCTGATTCTTCTCTAGCATGATTGAAGGAAGGCAAGATTCTTCCCTAATGCCTCATCTCTGTTAGTATAATGTACACTTTTTCTGCTTTATCCTATTCTTATTACTCACTGATGCAGGAAAAGCTCTACTCATCACCTTCTTAGCCACTACTGTTGATATCTGCTGTCACTTGATATTATTATACTATCTGGACCACACACATCTTCTACATCTTTCTAAAGATGTCCTGTCCATTAGAATTCTGATCGCTTCTGTGGGTTCATCTCTCTCCTACATTGATTTAGCTCAACTAGGACAGTGCTCATCAATGACCAGGGTTGGAACTAGTGTAGAAGGGAAGGTCTGAATGTGCGTGACAGGTGAAGTATTCATTGGAGTATGATGCTTGTTTTTTCTCTTTACATTATAGGTCATCTTCAGAAAATTGTTCAGAAATTGTTGCATTTCTTCATCTTTCCCAACTTTGCCAACATAAAGTTACGCAGTGGAACCTCTCTTTTCTATCACTGAAGTCGCTAAGGAAAACAGTGACACTGATGCAGGAAGGACTTGTGCAAAATTTTTGATGGTCTTTCAGTTCGGCTATAAC